TCACATTCAATTACTGGCTCCTTATTGGGTTACAGAGGCTAAAATCTTTTTAGTTTTTGCCTCCAGCCAGACTTGAATTGTTGACCTTGACTGTAGAGGCATAGGAGCTTAACTGCTAAGCTATGGGACCCACACTTTGCAAAAATTTTTATATATATACATATATGCATATGTATTACTAACTTAATTTCAACTCAAAAATATTTTATTTATAATAATTGCTAAAATTGCAATATATTAAAATTAAATTTTGTATAATAAATTCTAAAATACATAATGCTAGAATAATATAATAAGTTTGATTAACTTTATAAAGTTTAATTAGTTTTGTAATAATAAAATTTTTAAATTCAAATATAATAAATCTATCTTAAACTTATTTTTTAAAGAATTAAATTTATATTCAAATGCATTATTAATTTATTAATTATAAGCATAAAAATGTTGGCTAACCAAAAGAACAAATTTAAGAGTATTATATAACTAGTAACAATATTGGTTCTTACAACATATTTTGTTATCATTATTTAAAATCTTGAAGTTGTAAACATTTATTGTAAAATAGAAGCTTATCTTGCAAGAATCACTTTCTAAGAAATTATTAATTACAAAAAACAAATGATTTTATATTAGATCGATTAAATATAAATAATGAACTAAAAAAAATAAATAAATATTACAATTAAGCAATTTAAATATTTATTATATAATAAATAGTGTATCAATAAGTTTAAATTGCTAAAACAAAAATTGTATTATTTTTAGCTTTTTAAATTACCAAATTAATCTAATTAAGTTGGCATTGCTAGTATGTATAAGAGTCAATTTTTATAAAATTGATCTATTTTAAAAGGCTTAATTTATTAATATAATAAAAATCATCTTAAAATTTTTACAACTAATTTATAAAATGCCAGATATATAAAATTATGCTTTAATATTTAATTATTTGTGTTTATCTCAAGTATGTATATATGAATATACACAATTATTTTATACAGTATATAATCATTTTTAATAATAATTAAGCAATAAACAAAACTTCTACTTTTTTAGATACAAATAAAGTTTCTTAAAAATTCAATTAATTTTATTCATTTCTAATTATCCAAATTTTTACTATCAATGAGATTTAAATACCTAACCTACCACTTGGAGGATTAATAACCTAACCATTTTACTAGATTACTACACCCCTATATTTAAATTTTAAAAGTAATACATAAAACAAGATTTATTATTGAAAAGATTCTTTTTTCAATTTTAATTAATATTGATTCTCAGATTAATAGTTTTTACTAGAATTAATCACTGAAACCTTTTTGACCAAATCCAAAAGTTTTGGATTTCAGATTATAGCTTCTGAAACCTTATCCAAAATACAAAATCTTATTTAAAACCCAAAACCTTATTTGAAATTCTGAAACTCTATTGATATAATAAATTTTTATAAAATTAATAATAATAAATTAGATATATAATCTAATCTATTTTTTTATATATACAAACCTGGATTAAATCAGTTTTTATAATACAAAATAGTTACAGATTGTATTTTTACAATAATAAATTAACAAATTTGTAATTACTAAATTGTAAATTTTATAATAACTTTGACCTGAATTTAATAATTTATATTTGGATTAATTATTGAATTCAGATTTACAACTATTATTATTATTCTTGAAACACTTTATAAAAATTAACTAAATGGGTATTCTGCTAATTTGATAAATGATCAATTTCAGCATGATCAATATATACTAAGTTAAAATCATTACCCAAAAAGTTTTGAAAATAAATATATTGTTAGTTCATAATTAGAGCATAATAATATTTATAAAATAGTAATATAATTTATTTAATATGTAATCTTCTTTCTTTGATTCTTTAGACTACTTGCAATTGAATTTTCGATTAATATCACTTTTAGAACTCCTGAAAAGGGAGAAAAAGAAAATTAAATGAACATATAAAATAAATAATATGAGACAATTTGATTGATTAATGTAAATCAAGAGATTGGTGAGAGTTATTCAGTGTTTTGATTGATTGTTCATTTCTCAAGGAACCTTTAGCTGCGGTAATATTAACTGAAGAATCAACTTCAAATAATTTTAAAGTGAAAAGTGATTATTAAAAGCATAAAATCCAATAAACTCACTATTCTAAAATTAAATTTTAATTATTATAAACAAATTCCATTAACAATAAATGAAAATAGAATGAAAATCGAATTGAATTATAAAACTAATCAAGAAAATGCAAATGAACTAGAAAATTTTTAATGCTGATTATTTATTTGAATCCAGGACATAGCAACAAAAAATGATTGAAGAAAACAATAATAACAAATGGCTCAGTAATATTAATAAAACTTTGTGTTATTGCATAAATTAGAAAATTATAATCATTTTAAAAGATGATAGAATATTCCAAATACTTAGAAAACTATAATTATAATACTTTCTGGCTAAAATAAATATTATATTTATTGAGCTATTTGAAATAAATAGAATAATTAATTTATTACTTACCATTATTAGTTTGTTAGTCTAAAATTTTTTTGTTTATATTTTTTAATTAATAATTTTTAAAATTTTAAATTATAGTTTCGGGGTTTCGGATTATAGTTTCGGAATTTCGGGTTTTGGAGTTTCGGATTAGAGTCTTTTGAAACTAGTTTCGGGTAGGCTTCGTTTCGAGTGTCAACTCTAGCTTTTACGTTCATTTAGCAGTATAATAATACAAGATAAATATTTGTCAAAAACCTTCAAACCTTTGCAGCATAATAACATTGTACGTACAAAACCATGCTGCTCAATAGTATGCAAGTTTCTGCGCAACCAGCTGCGTGTAAACTATACACTTCATTTCATTACAATTATGGAGTTTAGTTTATGAATCCAGTAGATAAAGTTGGCCAAGTTGCCCAACACTGAAGTGATATTTACATTATGCTTTTTTGAGCCAAGTCATTTAAACCAATAATATCACATCTAGTGTTGTTAGGCAAAACCTAGAGGTTTTGCCGCAGACGAAAGGTGAAACTTCGCCAAAAAAAATTAGAATGGTGAAACTGGTGAAAGGTGGTGAAACTGACGAAATGCTAAAAGTGACCAAGTTGAAAAAGGTATGAAACTAGTGTATGATAAACTGGTAAAGAGGTAAGTATAGAAAATTAAATCCTTTTTATATAATTATTAACTTTTTTACCTTATAGTGTTGTCTAAAAGACTCCCTTATCGTAATACCCTTCAAGAGTTTTAGAGGCATAGAATGTATTGTACCTGGGGTGTTATGGACAGGTTTATCGAAAATGATGGAACTCGGTATGTAAAATATTCCTTTTGCACCCACTTATATGTCATGATATAGATTTTTTTTCCATAAATATATGCGCTTATTAAATCGGTAATTGTGTTTTAAATCAAATTTGCTGAATCTAGAGGATTATACGATAATAAATTTCAAACTAACGAATATTAATTTGACATACAAAATATGGATAATTGTATTTTTTTTACTTAAGATGTACAGGACGTGATATATAATGCCTTTCTTTCTCTAACTATTTAAATTTTACTATATTTTATCTGTTATAAGTCATATACAATTATTTTTTAAAAAGAAAAAAATCAAAATAATTTAACATTAAATTTATTTAAATATTTACATAAATAATTATACAGTACATTAATAGATAGATAAATGAATCCAATTTCAGGCTTAGAAATTTTTTTTTTTTTTATAACCCTTGGCACAATGCCGTGTGACGCCATTGCGTACAATGGCTTTGAATTTTCAAGACTGAGTCTATTTAATTATAAGTTTAAAAGCCTGAAACTTGGATTTCTTTTAATAGTACTCGAATACTAACAAAAGAACATCGTTTTGTTCGTTGCTTTGTACACTTGTTTATATAAGCCACATGCTGCGCTTAATAATCACATATAATATATTTTTATTCATCAACATGGCTGAGTCTCCAAAGTCTTAATGGATTTGAGTTTTGCCAGGTTTAGTTCACCTAACAACAATGCTCACATTATTAGATTAAAATCTGCATTTATAACTTAATACTAATGCTTACTACAAAGTCATGAAATTTATTTTTGGAATATATATATATATATATAAATGATATAAATCGATAAAAAAATAATTTACAATAATAAAATTTAGTTAAACTAATGTTATAAAATGAAGAACATAAATTGAATGATCAAACTTTTAGTTATCCTAAACTCTTGGTTATTTTGATGTTTCACCAAAAATTTGAGTAATATTAAAAAAATAATTGGGATAAGATTGAATAACATAACAAAGCTTCCACAATATAATACTAAGTAATAACATAAGCCAAACCATTTTGATATTTAGCCAATCAATTCTACCTAATTGAACAAAAGACCACCAAACTAGAAATGTTCCTCCAATACTTTTCATCGACTGGACATCATATACTGTACCACACCATAACGTACACGCATATGAAAAAATCTCTAGAAGTAGATTCCAATGTTTATAACTAGCACTATCTATCAATAATGCAACATGGTATGTTAAAGTACAGAAAAAGAATATACCAGTTTCAAAAGGCGCTAACCATTTTATCTTAGAGATGTCTTTGTTAAATATATATACAGGTATAGTGAATGCTAATAGAACTATGCCAGTGATAAATTTACAGCGGACCAACGAATTGCGTGAATCGAAACCGATAACTGCCATTGTTCTATATACATGTGCTGAAAATCCAAGGATAGATAAAACAATAAAAATCGTCATTGTACCTATTATATTAATTTGATATTGGATGGCAATAAAGGCATAAATTACAGCGAGCGTTCTCTGAGTATATCTATATGATTGATCCAAATCTAGCATTTGTCGTGAAAATGTCCATAGCCATAATGGAGACCATAGAATGCAACCAGTTAACGCAATATAATCTCTTCGTGAAGTGCCAACATCGTAAATACGTGCATTGAAAATTATAAAAAAACAAATAATATGAGCAAGAAACTCCCAGCAAAAGACTGGAACCCAATATATGAAATCCAATATTAATGGAAAAATCCAATTTCTGAATAATATTGTTATTGAAATTACGAATAATGATATAGAAATGAACCAAATTATATTTGTAAATGAAATAAATCCAGCCAAACGTTCATGATAATTTGGTTGTCGTGGAGCAATCACGTCATCTGGAAATGGCAAATGATTCTGTAGTTGATCGAGAAGTTCATCAGGAATGAAATGTTGCAATAGTGAATTAATAACTTTTGATGCAGTTAGGTCTTTCTTAATATTGTAATATCTGCTTAGTCCAAATAATTGCCGATATAGGTTCATTAAAAGCTCTTGTTGTTCCTGAGCAACTAACTGTTGCTGGCTTGCTTGAAGTCTTAATTCTTCCCGTACGAATGTCATCTGCTTCAATCTTTCAATAGTTCCAAGAACTTTTACATATTGAATGGGATCTTTTAAATTTCTCAAGCGATCAAAAAATGTTTTTACAGATGTTGGCTGGTTGTTTGCAGCATCGTCATCTTCACTCGAAAAAATACTATGAGCACTTCCAAATAGTAAAAATAGGCATATGAAAATACACGTTGTTTTGTATAAAACTTTCATTTTTTCAATTTTAATTTCACAGGAACGGAATATAGTTGAAGAAATTCCGTTTGGCCGATAATTTTTACGTAATGTGTTACTTTAACAGATCTTGTGATCTGAATAACCCGGAATCCTGATCGGCATGGATACTAAAAATTTTACTAATGACGTCATTAAAACAACAAGTGTGCAAAATCCGGACACAGATATAAAATTTTAATGATTTTGTAATTGGCTGAGATTAAATTGGTTTTAATAAAATCATTATTACAAAATCTCACGATTAAGAATCTAAGACAATAATCCTAGCTTAACAAGATCCCACATACCAGATCTTATTAAATAAATATACAATTAAAAAAAAAAAATTTTAGAAGACAAACACTACAAATTAGTAAAAATGTGCAAATCGATCTTAATCAAAAATGCTAGTTTTATTGGAGTCAAACTATTTAACCTCTATAACCTTAACCACTAATCAATAACCCTAAATGTTGAAATATGTTCCAACGGTACTAAACTATTTCACTAGACTATTCCAGTGACAATATCTGTTTTGAGATCATAAATAAACTGATAAAATAAATTTGCAGAATAACTTAGAAAAAAATTATTAAACTCAATAGATTCATATGTTATTGTTTATGATTTAATGACTAAATTGAAACGTTCAGACATACTTCGCATATAACTTATTATTTTAGTATGTAGTATACAGTAACCAGGAATGAATTTTCTAATTTTTTATATCGTAACACCTGAGATTTAGTATTCGCGGCTGAGAATTAATTTTTGTGGCAGGTCTAAATACATGAATTTTAACAAATTAATCGTGCCATTTGTCTCCTATTAATTGACTTCTCAAGCTTTGAAATTGATTATCCAATATAATATCTTTTAAATGCACAATATATAATACGATCTAATATCTTCAATAATGCATTATCAAACTCAAACCTTAAAATAAAATAAAAATCAATAAATGATATATATGTTGTAAATGGAAACAGAATTTATGTGCATTTGGAATTTCCTAGTTAGTTAAAGTACAGGCGTTTATGTAATAAAAATATCCAGTGATCTTGATATCACGAACCTAGCATGACCACCAAAATCAGTTAAGTACGGAGTTAAAATTATTTACCGAAAAAATTCGATTAAATATGTGATACCATATTAGTCATTTATGACGATGACAATGTTTACGTAGTATCGTTATGACGATACCTGCTTACTCTATAACAAAGTAATCATTTCAAAAAAAATTTTCCTTACCAAATATTTCATTAATGGAAACCGATTATTCAAACCAATTGAATTCAAAATCTTGTTCATCCTGCCGAAAAATAAAACCATTTAACGAATTTGAAAATAATAATAAAGCATGTATCAAATGCTTAACTCATGTAAATAAAAGTAAAAAAACAGAAACTTCAAGAACGAAATATGGATGATATTCGTGAAATGCAAGAAAGTGCTATAAAACCTGAAGATCTTGAAAATGCAGTTTATAGAAAACTTATGGAAAATGAGGAAGAGGATGAACAAATGGATCTTAATGTAATTATAAGCCTTTCAGATCGAGTTGACGAATTAGGAAACAATATTGATGAATCATATGCAAGCTTAATAGCAATTGAAATCGTAAAGTTATGTGAAAAAGGTGATGGATACTCTTATGTTTATCATAAGAAGTATAAGCAAACAAAAAGTATGACTTTCACTTATTGGTGTAATTGTCGTCAAGAGCTAGAAAAAAAGATGAAAAAAGTTTTAGATAATTCAAAGCAATATAACACAGATTCATAATTAGATCGTTATAACTGTAAAGGTGCTATTCTTAGTAAAATTGACTTACAAAATAAATTAGCATCAGTAAAATTGGAACATATCTATTTGCATCCACGACCACAACATATAGGTGTTACTGATGAAATTAAAACATACAGTAAAGAGAACTTAGTACATACGGCACCTGAATTATATAAGCAAATTATCCTTGAGAAGATAAATGGTTACGAGTTATTTACTGTTGATCAAGCATATTATTGGTAAACATATCATGCCGTTACAAAATATAAAAGAGCAAATAATCAACTTCAATCAGTCAAATTGTTATTAAATGAAAAAAATTATAAGATTGTTTTAGAAATGGATAATCCAATGAAAGCATTTGCTTTTGTAACACTATTTATTATCAATTTACCTAAAATAGTCTTTGAAACTTTAGTTGTTGATGCCACTTATAATACGACTAGGTTTAAACATGAGTTTTATTCAATTCTAGCAGTCTTTGATGGTACAGGCTTTCCAATAAGTTATTTATATATTTCAAGTGGCAAAAATCATGATATTTATATGATTTTAACAAAATGATTTAAAGTCATTTCAAATATAAATGTTAGCAATGTAAAGATATTACTTTCAGATAAAGATTTTTCACAGATCTTCAGTGCACAAGCTATTTGGAAAGATGTAAAGGTGTAACTTTATAAATGGCATGTTAGACATGCTATAGAACAGAAGCTTTCTTCGACTATAAAAGGAATAATAATTAGGTATGATGCTAATAAAGCATATAATGAATATCTTGTAATTGATCCTATGTAGAATAATGATCCTTTTTGACATATGTTATGCAATAAGATTTTTCTTAAGACTGAATCAAGAAAAAATGTACTAAATTTAATAGAAACTCATTTTTACCATCACATGTTAATACTTACAGCAGATAAAGATTTTGTTACTTCATCTCAAGAAATATAGATACAGTTTGTTCATGAAATATTCAACTACTGTCATCAAAAAAATTTATTATATGTATAGTTGTATTTGTAGAATAAATAGTACCACTGAAATAGGTGGTCACTTTGGGCATTATCTGTCTCACCAAATATTTCAATAATCTGTACAACAATGATTATTGAATCACATTGGTGTATTTTAAAGAAAGATTATTTGTACAAATTTAACCATCCTTACATTAATCTTGTTTGTTATATTCTAGTCAAAAAATTATTATCTATACAGATACAATAATATCAATTACTTTTGCATAAAAGAATATTGTCATCTTGGCATGATGATTTTAAAAAAGAATAACAAATTTTGTCATGCATTCAATTAAAAATATGAATAAGTACCTAACTGACAATGAGCATTAGATATGTTCTTGTCTTTATTTTTTTAAAAATAGATTTTATCTATATAAACACTTTGTCAATCCCTTAGGAAATATGATGGTTTCATTTTTTAAAAAGGTTTGATAAGTTTATTTTATGTTAAAACTTAGATTACATTTTCAAAAAATATATATATATAATTTAAATTAGGTTTACTGAAATTCATATTATCCATTAATTGAAGAAGCTGAAAAAACCATATGAGAGAAAATTCACATATCGCCTAATAATACACAACTTTCTATAATAACAAATAATTCAACTATCCTTAACAATATTAATATTGCAAAAAATGATGAACTAGATAAAGATGATGAAACTGAATTGAAAATTATTGACTAATACAAAAAAATGCTTTATGATGTATGATGTATTTATTATATTTATCAAATTAATTATACAACATAATAAATAGAAGTATTAATATAAACATTAATCTGATATAAGTGCTTGACCTTCTTGAAAAATCTCATAGTCTTCTACAACAAAAAAAATGGTTGAAGAATATTAAATCGAATTTTAAACCAATTTAGAAGATAATAGATGATATAAAAAATTTGTATCAAGCAAAATCTTCCAGAAACCTGAAATAAATGAAATAAAAATACTTTCATTTTATAATATATAATGATAGTTAAATAATTTCAAATAAACTTGATTTTTTTTTTTATACACTACAATTTTAATGATAACGATAATATTTAAAATTTTAAGTTTTATAATATCAATATATAATAAAAGTCACATGATTTCAAATATATGATAAAATTTTATATAACAAAAGTGTTTAAATTTTTAATAATAATTTAACAAAAAATATCATTGATTTACTGGGTTATAAGATCAAATCAGATTTAAACAGCGATTACATAACTGATTTTGGTGGTCATGCTAGAGTGGTTATTTTGATATAGTGATCAAGGTATTTATGATTTTTTTTTTTTGGTATTAAGGTGACCTCTTTGGTCTTTTGACTTTTATTAATCACTTATTGGTATTGTGGTTCAA